TCTGTGCTCGAGCTGAATCAAGGTTCGTAAAGAATATGTACCAAGAAGGGGTGTTGATGAAGGGAATGAGGATGATTGATGACGTGGTAGTGTTGGCCGCTTTTTCCCGTACGCAGGTGGGATCGTTCCGGAGGGCGATCGGTGTGTTGGATTTGTTTGAGTCGTGCTATGACGAGAATCTTAAATTGATTCGGAAGGACGAAGGTGACAATGCATTTGACTTCCTTGGGAACCGGATGATCGTCGAGGTTGATCCTGTTCAGATTCACATTTTCCCTCGTACTCGGAATCAGCAATCCTTGTCCGATGGTGGGGGGTTGAAGGTGCAGTCGATCCAGGACTTCGCCTCGTATACAAAGAAGAGTACCAAGAAAGCTGCGATTTTTGCCAATCTTGTAAGGATGAGTAGACAGTCCACGTCCGACGAAGCATTGAAAGCGGCAATCGTAGCTCTTATGCTTGAAACTCGCCTCAGGGGGTACCCCCCGGAGGTCTCTCTTAGGGCCCTAGCAAAGTTTGGTAGGATTTCTGGCGGTACGTGGAGAGTTTATCTCTCTCACGAGTACCCCGGAATGATGAATTTCTGATTGAAGCCGAGAAGAAAAAAAAAGGAGAGGGAAGGAGGCGTAGTAGTGGGTGTTCGCTTGTGTATGCTAGTCGTTGTGCCGGTGTGGGTCCTTTCGGCGTGCAGGTTTTAGTTATTTTTGTGGTCACTGAAGAATCGTATCCTGTTTTGCTTTTAATTTCGTGTCCACCGGAGGATCGTATTTCTAGAAATAGCTTAGCAATAGAACACAGGCCGGCGCGGAGAGTTTTTCAGACTCTGTTTTTGCCTTTGCGGGTTAGCCACGAGAAGGAGTGAGGGATGGTTTAATACCAAGTTAGGAGTAGGCGCTCACGCATGTATACTAACCGTTTTTCTCGTGTGGGCCCTTTTCGGTTTACGTGTGTTAGTTTTCCTTTTTTTTTTTTTTTTTTTTTTTTCTTTTTTTTCTTCTTTCTTTTGAGGATGTCGAAGGAT